GCCCCGAGCCGGGGGGCGGAGCGAAGGGCGGGCCATATAGGCCCATCTCCGCCCCCCGGGCCCTAGAGCCGCCCTAGGGGCTGCCCGGGCCGTACAGCCTGCTTCTGCCTCCACCCCCGGCCGTATGGTCCAGCGCCCCCCCGGGAGAACCCAGGCGTCCTGGCCTCTGCTCCGCGGGGGGACGGGACTCTGGGGGTCCGACCCGTGACCATCGCCCCCCACGCAGGGACTGGGCGGGGCTGCAGCGCCCCCTGCTGCCGCCTCGGGGGAGCGCTGGGGGGCCCGATCCTGCACAGCGCCGGGCACACGGAAGGACCCGATCTTGGCTCGGGGTCTGTGCAGCGCCAAGCACAGCGAAGGCCCCGCGCCCGGCTCAGGAGCTCAGAGAGGGGCCCAATCCCGGCTCGGTGTCCATACAGCGCCGAGCCCGATCCTGGACAGCGCCGAGCTGATGCAGGGGCCCGATGCGGGCGCAGGGTAGCGCCAGGCATGACTCCGATCCCTACTCGGGGACGGTACAGCGCCGGGCACAGCGAGGGCCCCGATCCTGGCCAGCGCCGAGCGCGGTGAAGGGTTGATGCCGGTCCAGGTCCGTCCAGCGCTGAGCACAGATCTCGGCTCAGCATGGGCCCAATCCTGCCCCCACCCCGTCCCCCCAGCGCCGTGGGGGGGGATCTGGACTCTTCTGCCCCCTCGGGGCAGATCGCGGGGCTGCGGCCCCTTTAAGGCGGCGCTCACCTGTGCTCACCTGCCCAGGTGGCTGCGGGAGGCGGAAGAGGGACCGGGCCGGGCTGGGGCCATGTCCGCCTCCGCCGTCTTTGTGCTGGACCTCAAGGGCAAGGTGAGCCCGGAGTTGGGGGCAGACTGGGCTCCCCGCCCCTGGGACCTTAAGGGGAAGTCAGGCGTCCTGGGCCAGGCCGGTGCTGGGGGTGCACGGAACCCAGGTGGGGGGGGGCCCTGGGCTCGAGCCCTGCCCCGCTGCGGGGTAGGGACCCAGTTGCTGCGGGAGGGGGTAGCAGGGCTGAACCCTGACCACCCCCAATGACTGGGCTGGGGGAATAGGGCAAGGCAGAGAACCCAGACATCTGGGTTCTTCCCCCCCCCCTCCCAGGCCTGCCCTGCTCCCCCTTGACCTGGGAAGGCCACGAAAGGTTACATCCAGGCCCTGGGTAGGGCCAGCTGGCACCAGAGCCGGACAGTCAGGAAGTTCCCTCAAAGATGCTGGGGGGGGGGTTTCCAGAGGGTCTCCTAGGGTAGAGGGAGGATTCCTCCAGAGGCGGGTGGGGGTGTCTCTTGGGTTGGGCAGTCTCCCTGGGCAAGGGGAGGATCCCCCAGAAGCTGGTGAAGGGTCTCCCAGGGTAGGTGGGGGGGGTCCTCCTGGGGTAGTCAGGGGTTCCCCTTGGGGCTGGGTGGGTTGGGGCCCCCAGGGTGGGGGTCCAGGATACCCTTGGGGCTGATGGAGTTCACCCAGGTTGTGGCCCGTGCCCATGCTGCTCCCCTGATGCCCACAGCCACTGATCAGCCGCAACTACAAGGGGGATGTGGACATGGGTGAGATTGAGCACTTCCTGCCCCTGCTGGCGCAACGTGAGGCCGAGGGCACACTCACCCCACTGCTGACCCATGGCCACGTCCACTTCCTCTGGATCCAGCACGCCAACCTCTACCGTATCCTCCTGCCTGCCTGCCTGGGACACAAGTGTCTGTCCCCCACCACTTTGCTCCCCAAGTGGCTGGAGCTAGCTGGCCTCTGGGGGGGGGGGGAGCATGGGGGCTTCCTCCTCCCTATATGCAGGGGAGGTATGGTCCCCCCTGTGCCCATGGTCCTAGATGTCAGGTAGCCCAAGCTGGGGGGATGCCCCAGTCAGACCCCAGATGCCAGCCTGGGGTTGGAGGCAGGGAGAGACCCAGCCACATGCTCCCATTCCCCAATTACATTCCTAGGACTAAATGGTGAGCCCAGCTGTCTGGGCTCCCACCCCCTGCCCCCTAACTACACTCCAAGGACTGAACAGAGAACACAAGTGTCCAGGTTCCCAGGTCCCCCCCAAAACTAGCTGGGTGTTGTGGGCAGCTGCATTGGGGAGGGGGTGGGCATGGCCTCTGCTCCCTGGCAGTTTGGGGCTTGTAGCAACCCCCATGGTGCCTACAGTCCTGGATGTCAGGTGCCCTGACCCAGGGCATTGCCCCAGACACCCGATACCCATGCAGGGGGTTGGGGGGGGGAGGGTTGGGGGGGGTCACGGGTGCCTGTGAGTCCCTGCTGCCCCTGGTGGCTTCCTTAACCTGCCCCCAGTGGTGGCCACGACACGGAAGAATGCCAATGCCTCTCTGGTCTACACCTTCCTCTACAAGATGGTTGAGGTGCAGAGGCAGGGGATGGGGGTGATTCAGTGTCTTGACCTGTGGGATGGTTTATCCCGAAATAGATGGCATGCTTTAATCCTGGGATAAAATAGGTTTAATGCTGGGATAGGATGGCGTGACTTAATCCTGGGATAAAATGTTTCTCAATGCTTTACTCCCAGAATTTATCCTGGGACCAGAGGTGACCCAAGCAGGGTGTGGGGCCCAGGGCAAATCAGCCCATGCGGGGCCCCACCCCCACTCTGATCCCACGGGCCCCGGACCCAAAGAAGCTGCCACTGTTGGCGGGCGGGGAGGGTAGCAAGCAGCTGGACGTAGAGCTTCCGCCCTACCCAGCTCTGCTCCACAGCGGCTCTGCAGGACCCCCCAAAGCATGGGACCCGGGGCAGTTGCCCTGATTTGCACCCCCCAGGGATGGCCCTGCCTGGGACAAAATGTCTCTAGATGGGTAAAATGGTTTTGGTCCAATTCTGAGAGAGTGTGTGTTAATCCTGGGGAAAAATGGTTTGGTTTAATCCTGGGATAAAATGTTTTAGAGGGTTTGCTTTAATTCTGGGATAAAATGGCTTGGTTTGATCCCAGGATAAAACAGGATCTTAATCCCTGGATTTTTCCTGGGATTGAATCAAGTCATCTAAAACATTTTCTCCTGGAATAAAATGGTTTGGTTTTAATCCCAGAATAAAACGGTGCATTTTAATCCTGGGATTTTATCCTGGAACAAGATTTTTAGATGGTTTGTCTTAATTTCAGGATTTAATCCTGGGATAAAATGGCTGGATTTAATCCCAGGAGAAGGTGGCTGCTTGCAGTTTTAGAGCTCAACAAGATTTCTGTGGCAGGCTGGGGATCCCCCCAGCCTCTAAATCTCACTGAAAGCTCTTACTGGTTTATCCCTGGATAAAATTCGCTTGCAGCCTGGGACTAAAACTAAATGGGGGAAACCGTTATCCGGGGTGGCTGATTTGTCCCTGGTTCTGACTCCCAGAACAGAGCTTGAAGGGCAATTGACCCCAGTTAACCTTTGATTGTCCTTGGCACAGCTGTTAATTTGGATATGCACAAATATTTAAGTGGGAGATCAGGGACTTGAGGGGTCCTGGTGTGAAAGGGGGGCAAAAATGGAGCTGGGTTTTGAGGCTGGGGTTTTGGGTAAGATGGGGCTGGACTGGGTGGGTCAAGCCAGGACTGGGCTGGGGGAGAGGTCTGGGACCCCTCTGCCTCGCCCTTGCCAGCTGGTGGCCTGCTATTGCAGGTCTTCTCGGAGTATTTCAAGGAGCTGGAGGAGGAGAGCGTCCGGGACAACTTTGTCATTGTCTATGAGCTGCTGGACGAGCTCATGGACTTTGGCTTTCCTCAGACCACAGACAGCAAGATCCTGCAGGAGTGAGTGACCCCTGACCCCTGAGTGACCTCCTTCAGCTGGGCCTGGGACCCCTGCCCTCACTCACTGGGCTGGGCCTGGGCTTCCCCAAGTGAACTCCTCACCAGGCCTGGGATCCCTGACCCTCAGGTGCCCCCCACCCTGCAGTGGCCAGGCCTGGGACCCCTAAGTGACCCCCCCTCGGCAGGGGAAGTGGTCCCAGACCTCTCCCCCCTAACCCCCACATGACCTCTGGGCCTGGCCTGGGGCCCCCAGGGGCAGGGCTTGGCTTATGGCAAGGCCTTGCAGGGGCAGGCTGACAGTTCTCTGGCTCTTGGGCAGGGGTGGGGGAGTGCTGGATGTACCCTACAGGGCCGGGGGGGAATTTGGGGGGCATGGGGGTGCACAGGGGCACTGGCCACATCCTGCTGAGCTGTGGCTGCCCCAGGTACATCACCCAGGAGAGCAACAAGCTGGACACAGGAGGGTCGCGGGTGCCAACGACAGTGACCAATGCGGTGTCATGGCGCTCGGAGGGGCTGCGCTACAAGAAGAACGAGGTCTTCATTGATGTCATTGAGTCTGTCAACCTGCTGGTGAGAAGGCCTGGGTGGTGGTGGGGCTCATATTTCCCTGTCTTGAATTTGGGGCAGAAAGTTTCAGATTTGGGAGTGCTTTTGGGGCAAAGGGAGAAGCTGGCCTGGCCTGACCCTCACCCCCAGCAGTGCCCCCCCCCCAAAAGCCCCCCCCCCCCCCCCAACCCCAGCCTGACTTCCTTGGGATCCCCTCCCTGCCCCAGCTGTACCCCGGAGCTCCTCTGCTTTCCTACCACCACCTAGGGGCAGGGGCTGGGGAGTAGCCCCGACCCAGGCTGAGTGGCTGGCATGGGGCCCTACAGGTGAGCGCCACGGGCAGCGTCCTGCTGAGCGAGGTGGTGGGCAGCATCAAGCTGAAGGTGTTCCTGTCAGGGATGCCTGAGCTGCGCCTGGGCCTCAATGACCGCATCCTCTTCGAGCTCACTGGCCGTACGTCCTGGGGCACAGGAGGTGGGGTGGGGGGACAGGAGAGGGTCCTGTGGGGGATGAACAGAGCTGGGGGGAGGGGTAGAGGGGACACCCTGCCCTGGCCCAATCCATTGCTCTGCTCCCTGCCCTATACCCCTTGTCCCATTGGCTGCTCTACTTTCTGCTTCCTACTCCATCTACTGCTCTGCTTTCTGCTCCATGCCCTGCACTCCCTGCCCCATCAGCTGTTCTGCTTTTCCATTTCCTGCCCTGTGACCCCTGCCTGATCTATTGCTTTTCTTCCCACTCCTTGCCCCATCCGCTGCTCTGCTTCTTGCCCTGTGCAGGTGTTAGGGCCAACTGCAACCCCCCTACCCCCCCACCACAGTTCCCCCAGATGCCCCCCCAGCCCATAGCTACACTCCCCCCACCCAGGTCCAGGTGGCAAGAACAAGTCGGTAGAGCTGGAAGATGTGAAGTTCCACCAGTGCGTGCGGCTCTCGCGCTTTGACGCCGACCGCACCATCTCCTTCGTGCCCCCTGATGGCGACTTTGAACTCATGTCCTATCGCCTCAACACCCAGGTTGTGGGGGGACAGGGAGTGGACACTGGGGTTCTCTCCCCAGTGCTGGTGCAGGAGGGGTTGAAGCAGGGTAGGGGCTGGAAGCCTGCACACCTGGGTTCTCTTCCCCACCCTGGGTGGGGAGTTGGAGCCAAGGGGTTAAGAGCCTGGATGGCTGGAGTCTGGAAGGTTGTGTGGGGTTGGGAGCCCGGACACCTGGGTTTTGTCAGCTGTGGGAGGGAAGTACCTTTGTCAGAAGGTATTGGGAACCTGGATGCCTGGGTTCTCTCCATGTCTGGGAGGGGAATGGAGGCTGGAGGGTTAGAGCAGTAGAAGGTGGGAGCCTGGGTGCCTGGATTCCCTGTCCCTTCCTGTGTGACCTTCTCTCCCAGCTCCTGTGTGTATCAGGAGTGGATTTGGGGGGGGCTGTTGTGACTCCCTCATTTCCCCTTCTTCCCTCCCGGCAGGTGAAGCCCCTGATCTGGATTGAGTCGGTCATCGAGAAGTTCTCCCACAGTCGTGTGGAGATCATGGTCAAGGTGAGTCAAGGGACACCTTGCCTTGTATTAGGAACCTCTTGTATCAATTCCTTGAGGCAATGACCCCAGCAGGTGGCCTGGGGCTGAGTCTGGTTGGAAGGGGGCAGGAAGAGTCCCTCGAGCTGGTTGGGCAGGGAATGTGCCCCTTGACCTTTGCTTTCTGACCCCGGACAGGCCAAGGGTCAGTTCAAGAAGCAGTCAGTGGCCAACGGGGTGGAGATCACAGTGCCCGTGCCCAGTGATGTCGACTCGCCCAAGTTTAAGGCCAGCATGGGTAGCGCCAAGTATGTGCCCGAGAGGAACGTTGTGCTCTGGAGCATCAAGTCCTTTCCGGTGAGGCGGGCCAGCTTCCTGGGTTCCCTCCCTCCTCTGGAAAGAGAGGGGAGGGAGCTGGGGGGCTGGATGCCTGGGTTCACTCCCTGCTCAGTGTGGGGGAGAGGGACTAGGAGCATGCACACCTACGTTCTCCCTACTCCAGGTGGGGAGTAGGGGGCTGCGGGTGGGTCTCCAAGTCAGAACTCCTGGGTTCTCTCCCTGCTGGGGGAGGGGAATGGGAGCTGGGAGCTTGGATGCCTGGGTTCTCTCCCAGCTAAAGGAGTGGGGTGGGGTGGGGTGGGGTGTGTGGGAGGTGGGGTAAGTGCACAGGGATTGGGGTCCTGGATGCCTGGGTTCTTTTTGCTGTGGGAAGGGAGAGGGGGCTGGCAGAGTGAGGGGACTGGGACCTCCTCTCCCAGATGGGAGGAGAACCCAGGTGTGTATGAGAGCAGGCACTTGGATGCCTGGGTTCCCTCTGACACTTGGCAAGGGTGGACCCTGTGACCTCTCCCCACCCTGTGCCGGCAGGGCGGGAAGGAGTACCTGCTGCGCGCGCACTTTGGGCTGCCCAGTGTGGAGCGGGAGGAGGATGAGGGCCGCCCGCCCATCGCTGTGCGCTTCGAGATCCCCTATTTCACCGTCTCAGGCATCCAGGTGGGCCAGGGGTGGGGCTGGGGTCCCAGGAAGGCCATGATCCACACCCTGACCCAGGAATGGGAGGGTGTCCCTGGACCATAACCTATGGCACTTTCCCTGTGGTGACTAGGGGGATGGGGTCCGTGGACATCCCTCCCTCCCTCCCTCCTCAGCCAGCCTGCAGTCTCCCTGATGCAGAGATTCTGGGAGGGAGAAGACTGGGGTGGGGGCCTGGGGTCATTGTGGGGGGTGTTGGGAGTGTGGGGGCATTTTGGGTGGGGGTCATTGTCAGGCTGGAGAATATTCCTTCTTTGCAGAGTTGTGGTCAGACTGGTGCTCTGGCATGTGCCTCAATTTCCCTGCTCTCAAACATTTGGGGGGGGGGG